TGTCCCTGTCCCTGCCCCTGCCCCTGCCCCTCAGGGCCGTGCCTCCTTGCAGGAAGAAGATGGGCAGGTCAAGAAAAACTCTGGGCCCAGAGCTCTAGGCACTGGACCACTCAGGGAGGAGAAAGATCAGGGCTGAGCCAGGTTTTGTGGTCATGGGGTCTTTAGATGACTTGAAGGTATCTGGGTCTTAGAAACTACCAAAGGGCCATTCAGCAATCTAGTGACTGAGCTGAGTGACATGGAGGAAAACAACAGGTGGCCTGACTATTTGCCCCGCATTTCCAGAGCCTTTGGGCATGTTCTCTCTCTTTAATTGGGAAATAAACTGAGCTCTAACCCAGCCACAACTTGCTGTGCTCTAGAGGGTACCAGGTTGCAGTTCTGAGACTACATGGGGGCTGGGTGTGGTAGATTATGGGATTCTACTGTCCACCCTCCTTCTGCACCTAATTGTAGCATGGCCATGCACAGCTGACTCTCTCTGCCCTTGGTCACTCTGAGGGGGTCCTTTGTCTTTTCAGGAAGACTAGCTTGAGGAAAGAATCCTCACAATTTGCGTAGAGACCCATCTCTCTTCAGGCTTATCATCAGCTAAGAGGCAGGCAGACCTCGGCTAGCACAGGGTTTCTCTGTGCTTGTCTGCTGAAGACTCTTGAGTTCCTGTTCCCATGTGACACGGTCTCCTTGCTCCTGCTGTGTGTGCCCAACATGGTGCAGCTTGAAGGTAGTTATCTAGTAAATAATAAATGAAATCCCTTCGTTGTTTCAGCACAAGATGGGATGGAGTGTCCTACCTTCCAGGTTCTATATAATTCTTACCCTCAGTTCTCTCAGATGAGACTAACCAAAGGCTACCCAGTTGCTGGAATGGCCTGACCCTGGGGAGAACTTGGCTCAGAGAGGCCCTTCAGGATGTATGGCATTGGGCAGGTGGCCATTCCATGAACCCTGTGCCTCCCCTCTCTTATCTTCCTTTGTTTATACACAAATCATTATTCAAACCATTCTTAAATATACAATGAATGACATTAGGTACAGTCCCAGCTGCATAACCACCAGCGTGATTGCTTCATCTTCCCAAAAGAGAATTCCTGCATGTCAGTTTCCGTCGTATCTGTATGGATTGTCTCCATCTAGTCTCCTTGTGTGAGTAGAGTCACACAACCTGTCAGGCATGTTCATGCACCATTAAGTCCTTCAGGTTCATCCATGTAGTTTATGTCTGGATGTCTTTATTTAAAGGATTGAATAGTATTCCACAATGGGTCTGGCCACTGTGGGATCTCCCACAAAGTTAGGGTGCCAGAGACTGGGACTGAACAGAGAATCTAGCATGGGTGTCTCTGAGTGACTTAGCAATGCCCCCACTTTCCCCAATCCAGTGTACATACACACACACACACACAATACACACATACACATAAATACATACACATGCACATACACACAAACACACAATATATACACACATACATACACACACAATACACACATACACATAAATACACACACATGCACATTCACATACACACAAACACACAATATATACACATATACACAAATACATAATACATACATATACATACACACACATACACATGCACACACACAATATGTATATATAACTTGTCAGCTGCTTTTAAATTGCAGAGTTTTGTGGTTGCTACAGTGACATGCTGGAACCTAAGACATTAGCACCGGGCCCTTTGTAGAGACAATCTGTGCACTCATGTATTATATAATAGGCTATGGCGTTAAAAGCCATGGCTCAGACGCTTGCTGGGTTTTTACCTAAGTGGTGTCACTTTGAGTTCTAGCCTTCTACTTACAAAATTCCGTTTATATCACAAGGGATTGTGAGGTTAAAGTCAAAGCCAACAGGAAATGCACACACCACCTGTAGACCCACAATTTGGTCAGGAGGTGGCTTTGATGTCGGCCTTGTTTTCCCTCCAGTAGGTTCTGGGTGGTGTTGGGTGGTTTTGGCCTCAGCTGTCCTGTCTGTTGTCATTTTCAGTTGCATTGCTGTGTAGGTGGGACAGAGGACAATCTTCGGTGCTGTTTCTCAGGTACCATTTACTTGCTTTTTTGAGGCAGGATCTCTCATTGCCCTGTAACTCACCTAGTAGCCTAAGCTGACTGGACAGTGAGCCCCAGATACTTGTCAGCTTCATCAGTGCTAAGATTGCGAGACCGTGTCTCTTTTCTTTCTTCTTTCTTTCTTTCTTTCTTTCTTTCTTTCTTTCTTTCTTTCCTTCCTTCCTTCCTTCCTTCCTTCCTTTTTTCCTTCCTTCTTTTCTCCCTCCCTCCTCCTCCCTCCCTCCTCTTTCTTCCTTCCTTCCTTCCTTCCTTCCTTCCTTCCTTCCTTCCTTCCTTCCTTCCTTCCTTCCTTCTCTTTCCTCCTTTCTTTCTTCCTTCCTTTCTTTCTTTCTTTCTTTCTTTCTTTCTTTCTTTCTTTCTTTCTTTCNCTTCCTTCTCTTTCCTCCTTTCTTTCTTCCTTCCTTTCTTTCTTTCTTTCTTTCTTTCTTTCTTTCTTTCTTTCTTTCTTTCTTTCTTTCTTCTTCATCCTCCTCCCCCCTTCTCACGCTCCTCCTTCTCCCTCCTCCTCACGGGTTCTGGAGTTGCAGCTCAGACACATATGCTTTAAATGGTTAGCATCCATTTTCCCAACTAAACTTCCCTCCAGCCCAGTAAGGAATATTATTTATGGAAGTTATTTAAGATAAGGCGGAGGTTCCTAGGAAGTCTACAGGAAACGGGAGTTGCTGGAGTTTGTTCTCCACTTCCTCTCTGTCATCGCGTGCTAGAGCATCTAAGCATCTCGCAGAACCCAGGGAGCAAACCAGCATCCGGCTCAGTCTGCACACGCCCTGCAGTGCCAGCTAAGATGACAGGGCCCAGAAGGGGTGGGCTTTAAAAGTCTCCTTTTCCCACAGCTTGGCACCCAGCCTAACCCCTCTGCTAGCTGAAAGGGTGCCAACATGCCCAGCACGTTTGGATTTGCAAATAGTCTCCTGTTTACTATCGGAGAATCTGCGAAGCCGAAGCTCCTTGTGGATTTTTGTGCTGCTGTAAGGCAGGACTGTTGGGAAGCTGGTCTTCACAAACCTCAGTGTGTGAGTAACAGGCCGCTTCATCCGTAGGTGAATGAGTCATGAAAGGATTATTCAAGGATTTTTTCTTTTTCTTTTTTTTTTCTTTTTTACCCTGGACTGGATTTGAGCATGTGCTGGTTTGGAGGTGGGGACAGGAATGGGCTGAGCCTTTGAGGGTGGGAAGAGTCTGGGGTTGGAAGCCGTGGCTTGTTAGTGGCTCTGCCGTGTTGCTCAGCAGTGCTGAAAATCCACTCGAGATATGTTGTATTAAAAGAAAGTGTGGCGTGAGTCCAGCGGTTGAAATGCAGACGCCCACATGTATTTATATTCTCGGGGCCTGGGCCATGTGTGCGGTGACACAGCATGCTACAAAGTCGTGGAACTGAAAATAACATATGTCTGTCTCAAGTGCCAGAGGAAATTGTGGTGCTGGTGAGAAGGCGCAGGGCGCAGATTTAGAAAGGAGGAAGAAACGCCTCCTGTGTCGCTGTGGTGTTTATCCCCAGGCCCTCGGCTTCTCCTCACACATAGCAGGAGCAGCCGCAAAACCGACACAGAAACAAATGCAGAAACGGCCGGGGCCTGCTTCCAGAGCCGGTTGGCTCTCCGGAGGTTGGCCTTGGAAATGAGTCCTGGCCGACTGAATTTTGACCCTGCACGGGCCCTAGCTGTGGTTTGCTGAGAACCTGGGAGGCTCTCTGTGAGTAAGAAGCCATGGACGGTGCCGAAAAGGGGTAGAGAAATGCTGCCAAGAAAGGGGGTCTCCTTCACCTCAAAACTGCCTGGACTCAAGCATGACTCCGGGAGGATTGAGGAGATCGCCCAGTAAGTACAGTACTTTGTGCATGCACAAGGTCCTGAGTTCAAATCTTGAATCCTATGTAAAAAGCAAAAAGCTGGATGGGGCACTGTGTGCTTGTCAGCCCTGGGGATGCAGAGCAGGCAGGTCCTTGGGGCTGCCAGCCTACTCGGCAAGCTTCAGGCTAGCAAGAGACCCTGCCTCATAAACAAACAAACAAACAAATAATTAGAATAATAAAAAACCCCAACAACCAACCAACCAACCAACCAACAAACAAAAATGTTTGGAATGATAGCACCTGAGGAATGATAGCCAAGGCTGTCCCTTGGCCTCTGTGTGCACGTGCATGTGTTCTTTTTTTTTTTTTTTTTACTTTTTATTTTATTTTTATTTTATTTTTTTTTAAATTTCCACCTCCTCCCAGCCTCCCATTTCCCTCCCCTTCCTCCCACATCACTCCCCCTCCCCCCACTCCTTTCCCCATCCCTCTCCAGTCCGAAGAGCAGTCAGGGTTCCCTGCACTGTGGAAAGTCCAAGGTTCTCCCCCCTCCATCTAGGTCTAGGAAGGTGAGCATCCAAACTGGCTAGGCTCCCACAAAGCCAGAACATGAAGTCGGATCAAACCCCAGTGCCATTGTCTTTGGCTTCTCATCAGTCCTCATTGTTCAGAGAGTCTGGTTTTATCCCATGCTTTTTCAGTTCCAGTCCAGCTGGCCTTGGTGAGCTCCCAATAGATCAGTCCCTCTGTCTCAGTGGGTGGGTGCACCCCTCACGGTCCAGACTTCCTTGCTCATACGTGCATGTGTTCTTGCATGCACATTAATGTGTGTGTTGCATACTTTTGGTCATGATACTCATACACCAGACAACACACAGGCACCACACTAACCCAAGAACCAGAGAGGGCAATGAAAACCAAGGAACAAGACACTCACTAGAAAAAGACAAGATCAGAAGTACAATCTTCTCAAACTCAGATGACCAGGTACCAGCATGAAACACAATAGCAGTCACTAGAGCCCAGCTCTTCTACTTCAAGATGCCCTGAGAATTCCAACATAGCTGAAGCACAGTACAAAGACCTTAAAATAGCCTTTATGCGTGTCTGCTTCAGCAGCACATATACTAAAATTGGAATGATACAAAGAAGATTACCATGGCCCCTGCTCAAGGATGGCATGCAAATTTGTGAAATGTTCCATATTTTTAAACCCTTATCCAAACCAACTAAAAGGCAGAGAGAGAATATCCAGAGTAACCAAATAAGAAACAAAAAGGGGGACATTACAACAGACTCGGAGGAAATACAGAGAATCACTAGGTCATGCTTCAAAAGAGTGTACTCCACAAAATTGGAAAATCTAAAAGAAATGGACTTTTTTTGATAGATACCACTTATCTAAGTTAAAATCAAGATCAGGCAAACAATTTGGATAGATCAATAATCCCTAAGCAAGTAGAAGCAGTTTTTAAAAGTCTCCCAAGGCCAGACAGTTTCAGTGCAGAATTCTACCCAACTTTCAAAGAAGACTAATACCAATACTCTTCAAATTATTCTACAACATAGAAACATAAGGAGCATTGCCAAATTATTTCTATGAGGCCACAGTCACCCTGATAACCAAACCACACAAAGATTCAACAAAGAAAGAGAATTACAGACCAATTTCACTCATGGACAAACATGCAAAAATACTCAATGAAATACTGGCAAACTGAATCCAAGAATACATTAAAAAGATCATCCACCATGACTAAGTAGGTTTCATTCCAGAGATGCACGGATGGTTCAACACATGAAAATCTATGTAATACACCATATAATAAAACTGAAAGAAAAAAAGCACATAATCATTTCCTTAGATGCTGAAAAAGCCTTTGAAAAAACCCAACAAACTTTCATGATAAAAGCCTTGGAGAGATCAGGCATACAAGGGACATGCCTAAATATAATAAAAGCAATATACAGCAAGCCAATATCAAATTAAGTAGAGAGAAACTCAAAGTAATTCCACTAAAATCAGGAACAAGACCTGGCTGTTCACCCTCTACATACCTATTCAATACAGTACTTGATGTTCTAGGTACAACAATAAGACAACTTAAGGAGATCAGGGATACAAATTGGAAAGGAAGAAAAGAAAGTCTTATTTGCAGATGATATGATAGAATACATAAGCAACTCTGAAAGCTCTACCAGGGAACTCCTACAGCTGATAAACACCTTTAGTGAAGTGACTGGATAAAAGATTAACTAAGCTGGGCGGTGGTGGCGCACTCCTTTAATCCCAGCACTCGGGAGGCAGAGGCAGGCGGATCTCTGTGAGTTCGAGGCCAGCCTGGGCTACAAGAGCTAGTTCCAGGACAGGAACCAAAAAAAAAAAGACTACGGCTGTAGTCTTTCTTCTTTCAAGCCATAGATAATTTGTCAATAAACAGCCTTGACTAATAAGCCACCTTCAATCTCTTCATGACCTTGAATGTGCGGTGCTCTCAAATCAGACAAAACCTGATGTGGTTTGTAAGCAAGAAGCCAGATGAGGAGGAGCACTTGAGAGTGGAGGATGTGCCATGGAAATCTTTCTGTTGTTTGAGATACAAATGGTAAATAAGGTAGGGGAGGAAGAAAGGGACACAGAAGAGGTCCTAGGACCAAGAAGTCTAAGAGTTTCAGCCTCTGGGTGCCTGACCCTCCCCTTCCTAAGATATGCTTCCAGGGTGATGAAGCCATTGGCTGGTGAGAAAGGCTCAGACTATCACTTGGATCTGCGATAATACAAGGTTGTTCTCAGAGCCAGGGTGGAAGAGCAGTTGGAGAATAGGTGGTAACTTCAAATCTTGCCGAGCCATTCACCAGGCCAGCAACCTCCAGATGATCATGGGTTCTCTAGGCCTTGATTTCTCTATAAGATACAAAGCTCCTCCCCTCAGCAGTGCAGGCCAACAGAGCAATGCCTTTCCACATGAAGAGAGTTAGATTTGTCTACATTTCTCCCATATTTCTCTATAGTTTGCTGGGTGCCATCACTAGACCAGTTCCACCATGTCACTCCCTTTAACCCCTGCCACTGGGACAGCACAGTCTGCTTCTTTTACAACTTGAGGGTGAGTTAAGAGTCTTGCCCTGGATTGTCCACCGTGCATGGGAGCTGCTGGGTCTGCATGGGCCACATCTGCATGGGCCACATCTGCCTTTCCATCAACCTGACTCATCTTTCATCAAGTAGTGCCTTATTCAGTTTCAATGAGTATGTAAAATTTCTGTTACTTCTGTTCTTTTTGATATCCAGTTTTAATTCACATGGCAGGCTGTAATCAGAGGCATGTCCCAAGCACAGAGTCCTGAATAATCACACAGAAATATATTAATTACAAACTGTTTGGCCTGTAGTTCAGGCTTATTACTAACTAGCTCTTACATTTAAATTAATCCATTTCTATTAATTTATGTATTGCCACATGGCCATGGCTTATACCAGTCAGCTGGTATGTTGTTTCTTGGGCTTCTGCTTCTCTCTTGACTCCCCTCCTCTTCATCCAAGTACCAGGTTTAATTGTTCTGCCTAACCCTATCCTGTCTGGCTATTGGTCAAACAGCTTTTATTTTTCAACCAATGAGAGCAACATATATTCACAGCGTACAGAAGAATTATCCCACAGCATTAGTCAGATAGGATTCAGGGTGTAATTTTAATTTTATTGCATCTGCTGAGATTTACTTTGTGTCTAATTGTATGGTCAGTTTTGGAGAAAGTGCCATGAGATGCTGAGAAGAAGGTGTATATATTCTTTTGTTTGGGGGTAAAATGTTCTGCAAATATTTGTTAGGGCCATTTGATTTATTATATCAGTTAGGTCCAGCATTTCTCTGTTAAGTATTTGTCTGCATGACCTGTCTGTTGGCAAAGGGAGTATTGAAGTCTTCCAGTATTAGTGTCTGAGAGTCAATGTGTGATTTAAGTATGTATGTATGTATGTGAGTGTGTGTGTGTGTCTGTGTGTATGTATGTATATGTGTGTGTATGTATATGTGTATGTGTGTCTGTGTGTATGTATATGTGTGTCTGTGTGTGTGTCTGTGTGTATGTATGTGAGTGTGTGTATGTGTGCGTGTGTGTCTGTGTGTATGTATATGTGTATGTATGTGTGTGTATGTATGTGTCTGTGTGTATGTATATGTATATGTGTGTATTTATGTGAGTGTGTATGTATATGTATATGTATATGTGTATGTGTGTATGTATGTGTGCGTGTGTGTATGTATATGTATATGTGTATGTGTGTGTATGTGTGTGTATGTATATGTATATGTGTGTATGTGTGTATGTGTGTGTGCGTGCGTGTGTGAAGCCCAGTGACAGTGCAGAGAAACAGATCATGCTGAAAGTTGGTCTCTCCCCAGTAGCTTAGCCGCCTCCTGGATCACCAGAACTTAGGGCTGGCTGTTTAGGTTACTTACTGGAGGGGTGATGTCTAGGTGCTAAGTTTCCTAATTGACTTCCACCCATTCTAGAAATTACCTTGGGAGCCTCTTCTTCCTCCTCAAGGAGTGGTTCCTGGGAGAGCCACTGCCCAGAGCTGGCTAATCGCTCACCAACCATGTCTGGTCGCAGCTCATGAAATCATGCCAGACTCTTCCACAGGATATCGAAGAACTACAAAGCGACAAGAAGGTGACCTTAGGAGTGTTCACAGTCAGAGACTGGGTGTGGGAAACTATTTTTATCATTAATTCACCAACAGGAGCGTGGGGAGGGGGAAGTAACAAAAATCTCACACAAGTACTATATGCTATTTTTTAAAAGAGAATTAAGATAAACAAAAAGGAAGAAGGAGCAATAAAGCTACCCATAACCCTTAAATACACAGGTAATCGTTTAAAAAATATTTCTAGAGTAATTTTTCAGACTTTCTTTGGCTTTCTCTCTTCGGCATGTTCTCTCTCTGTATATGACTCATGTGTATATAAACATACTTACCTAAAGTTTATATGCACATCTGCACTCAGTGATTCCTCTCCTCATGTGTTTGGATTTCTATACTTCCCAGTGTATTGTAGGCGTCACTCCTGGCACTTAGTGTGTTCTCTACCTTTAACTGCTGTTTCACGGACCACTAGGCCCTGCCTACTCATAGAACACAGTTTTGATTATTTCCCAAAGAAACTTTTGAAATGACCATGCCCCAGTAGATTTTTCAACAGACCATAAGGTCTTTCCTACTGTCTCCAACAATATCTATAGATAAACTGCTCTGCTGGTTAGTCTTGTGTCTGTGTGACACAGACTAAGGTCATCAAAGCAGAAGAACCCTCAAATGAGACAATGTGTCTGTCACGTTGGCTTATAGGTAAGCCATGGGGCATGTTTTAGATGATTACTGAGGTGGGAGGGTCCAGCCCTATGACAAATTCTAATTGGTCTTAATAATAAAAACTCTGAGTCAGCTATCAGAGGGTGAAAGCTGAAGAAACCAGAGCGGCCAGCCACTAGAGTTCTTACCTTTACCAATGCTCAGACCAAAGGAGCGATCCTGTCCTCAGACTGCCTCCTCAGACTGCACAGCTCCTCAGACTGCACTGAGCTCCTGTCTCCTCCTACCTTATATTTCTCTGTCTGCCCAGCCATATCACTCCTGTCTCAATTTCCTTAGTGCTGGGATAAAGGCATGTGATCCCAAACAGTGTGAGTACTGTTTCTCTTTTAGACTGGATCAATTCTGTATAACCCAGGGTGGTCTTGAACTCACAGAGATCCCTCCCCTCTTTCCCCTGAGTCCTGGGATTAAACGTGTGTGCCACCCACAGCCTCTAGTGGCTTAGCTCTACATTCTGATCTTCAGACAAGCTTTGTTAAAACACAAACAAAATATCACTACACAGCCCACTGTGGGTGGTGCCAGCCTGGGCAGGTGGTCCTGGGAGGTATAAGAAAGGAACATGAGCCCGGAGAGCAAGTCAGTAAACTTGGGTTCCTCCATAGCCCCTGCCTCCAGGTCTCACTTTGAGCTTTGCTTTGACTTTCCTCCTTGAATGGTTCCTTATGATGCAAACTCATGGTTGTGATCCCGTGTGCCTGCTGACCACTGAGTTCATGTCTCGCTCTCCTCTACGAGCTGCTCTTTCTGCTTCGCCTTGTTGCTTCTCAAGTGTGGCGGACCCGGGAACAAGATGAATTGTATGTTGAGATTGGAGCTAAATTAAGAGTGA